CAGCACCGACGCCCATTCGGTGCTCTACCATTCCATTATCAGGAAAAATGATGCAAGCCAGTCCGCCAAACACAGGCTGTTAGATACTTGTGGGGATTTAATGATGATGATGATGATGATAATACCACCACCACCACCAACAACAACAACAATTCACAGGGATACTTATTTACCTTCTCTTGTTCAATCTGCATTACCATCCTGAGCTGAGCTGAAAGCACAGGAATATTTGATGTATCGCACTGGGATTGAACTGTATTTCAGCCTGCAGCCTTGAAAAGAAAGAGACAGGCAGAGAGAGAATGTCTTATTTTCCAAAAGAAAGAATTACAGCCAAACCACATTCTAAAGGAATCCATAAAGGAGACATGCGAGTTAAGTGGGGATTAGATCATCATAACAGGAGCCGTGTTTTTTCTGTTCTTGCTGTTTTGCATCATTAAAACACACAGAGAGATTTGGTTATGCTTTTTGCCTTAGGAAGTGGCTTCAGTCTTCAAATATGCAGTTCCTGAGATATCCAAGACATTTTGCTGCCGAAGGTGAAGGAAAGGATGGCACCACTGTGCATTCCAGGTACAGCAGAAGCCTGCAGGACAGAAACCCTCCCTTCCCATCCTCCTGCACTGAAGAAACAGGCGAGGGGAAGGGTGCTGCAGCCCTGTCTTCTCTGGTGCCGCATCTACACCATTATGAACCCTGGGAAATCAGGATTCTTAACTGGCTGGAGAGCTCCCAGTGACACACGAAGCTTTTCTGCTCTAGTGTCACCTTCCATGTACAGGGCTGGTGGAGAGCGACTGGCACCTGCGTGCACCCCTGGAAGGGCACGGCAGGCGTGCTCATTCACCATGGCAGGACATAAGCTTGACAGCTGGCTCATACCTGCATACTAGCAAAGGACTCTGTGCCAGAGATAACCTGAGGTCTCCTTAGGGAGGGCAAGGCAGCCCCATCATACACAGGGTTGCTTAACCTGTAACAGAGGGTAATGGCCCAAAGGTTCAGGAGAAATGGTTGGGGGGGGGGTTGCTGCTGTTGCCCCCACACCTTCCACCATTCAGCTTTTCCTGCCTGATACAGGGGTGGGCAACTTTTCCCTCCAGATGTTTGCCCTGCTCCTCACATTCAGGCTAGCCAGTGGTGAGGGATTATGGAAGCGATAGGCTGAAACAAAGACAAAAGGCCAAAAGAAAGCGTGTGCCCCATAAGAAACAATTCCTCTATCATACCACTTAGCATTTAAAAAAAAGTGATTTCCTGGTCTGCATTATGCGATTTGTTGCCCCAGTACAACATGCCTCAGCTTGGGGCCTTCTTGTCGTGCCTGAAGCCCCGACAGAGGCAGCACCTCACGAGGAGGTCTTGTGCTTGGGACCCTGTATCCAAAAGCCAACCCCGCAACCTAGCTTGGGGGTGGCTGAGCAGAGAGCCGCACCTCCCCCTGACTCCCTGCCCATTGCGCAAACACCCGAGCCCACACCAAAGCAAGAGAGCCCCGAGGGAAAAGACGCCACGAGTTCTACTCAGAAGGAGTCAGAGCAGGCTGTCCCTCCTCCCACTGACGCTGAACTTCCTGAACATGACACAGGAGACACAGGGGGCATGATCGACTTTTCCCTAGCAACCAATCGTAGAATTCTGAGGAGGTCTGAGCAGAGGCAGGCCTTGTTACGCCAGAGGGAGGAAAGGCGTGCCCAGGAGGGCTAGTCCCACGTAGAGGATTAACTTGTGGGTCGTTTACATGTTGAGCAGCACCTCGGACACTTCTAGACAGGTTGGCCTGCAGCTTCCATCAGCCATAGCCAGCAAAGCCCTTGGTGAGAGATTATGGGAGTTGTAGGCTGAAACATCTGGAGTGCCACCACTTGCCCACACTTGGCAATGGTTGGGCTGGCTCTGCTTTCTTCATAGTAGTCCTGGAGTGGAACTTAGTGGTCCTGCTCCTTAGGAAAAGTGAAAGCTAAGAGAATGGTTCAAATGCATCAGCTGGTGCTCTAACCCTCGAAGGCAGGATGATTGTCTGTTGTCAGTTGAATTTGACTACAGAGATTCAGGGGTTGGGAACTAACCCAGTTTATTAACACATCCTTATATGGCACTGTTGCACGTTTTTACTGAAAGCCTGCAGCAGGATTAATCTTAAACCAAGGGAAGAGAAGAGTCTAGACTGTTCTTCAGGGAAATGTGCACTTATTTTCTGTGCCTGAATGAGATACAAGTCTCTTCCTTTCTTTGTCTGTTGCATCTAGATCCAAGGAGCACAACATTTTATCCTCACAGCTGCCAGTAAGAGAGAGGTTACAGTGAGTGTTAGTGACTGGCTCTAACTCTCTTCATGGCTCAGCTGGGACTTGAACCGGGCTCTCCAGGCCCAGTCCAGCTCCCCAGGCACTATACCAGCTGTCTCTTGGTTAGCACCTGGTATGAGACTTCTTGCACAAGGCACTGATTGTGTGCTTGTGAGCCCTCACTTGCAGAAGTGTGCAGGGCCTTTGCACAATGTCATTCTCGCTCAAGGCCTTTCTTGCATTTTCCATCATTTTCATGGGTTCTTAGTGTGAGGAAATCCAGGTATTAAATTTAAATCTGGATCAAAAGCCTTGTGACAACCATATCGGAAGGAGAAATATTAGAGAGAAATACAAACTCCAGGGAAAACATTCTATGTAAAGGACTCATTTTTCCTCCTGCAATGAAAATGAAGCCTCAGCAAAACCTTGGTTAAATCCCACATGTAGAGAAGTCCATGGGAGCAGAGAGAAACATGCATCAAATGTTTACTGAGGGTTGTAGCCTTCAATCTTTTTGTCTTGGAGTTTCATCAATCTCTTTTCTGTTTTGCACTGTTACTGCAGCTTGGATGCTCTTTGCAATGTTTTTTTTTCAGAGGAAGAAATTTCCATGGAAACTTTTCATGCTAGAGACCCAAGGGGGCTTGGTATACTGAAAACAGAATGAATGAAAATAGAGCAACATCTTTTCTGTGACAGTTTTAAGAGACTAAGAATTTATCTACAGGAAGTGTGCTTCATGGAGGCTTTTCTCTGAAAGAGAAAACACTGTACTAACACACTTTCCCCCAGGGTTTTGCTTTCTCTGCCTTCCTGCATGTTGAATTATACAACTATAAGGTGCTGCTGTGGTATAACACAATTGCTGGATTACACAGCCCTTTATCCCAGTTTGTTACACCTTTAAAATTTAATTCCCTATTATCCTCACCCTAAAGAAGGTGCAAAAATGGCTACAAAACACAGGAGGAGCCCTGGAGGATGGACATCAAGTAAAGACCCCACGAACTCTCATGAAGGAAGGACTCTGCATGCACAATAAATGTCTCACACAGAGCAGCCCTAACCTTTAGTTTAGAGATATAGAAAAAAGCGAGTCAGAAGGGGCCTCCCGGGAACCCTGTAATGTACACCCAGCTTCCCCGAGCAGTGAGAAGTCGTAGGAATAGTGGAGCTTAGCAGGTCTTGTTTCTTTGGGCCACGAGGACCCTGGAGCCTTAAGGGGCCTCTGTAATATTTGGCTTATTTTTAAGGAAATGTAAGAAGTGCTTAAGTGGAACCAAAGAGGGACTCCCACACAAGGCAGTGGATCACCCCAAGAGAGAAACTGTGCAGGCCAAAGTGCTTGGCGTTCAACCAGCTCATGCGTCTGTCCCTCCCTCTCCTCTTCCATGCATCTTCAAAACTGCTAACTGCTTTTTGTCTTGCATGGTCTGCCAAACAATTTTCAGAGATCTCAGTAGCCATCCGCAGCCATCAATGCTTGGGGCAAAATCCATTGTGATTGGCTTCAGGAAGCAGGTCAGCCAAGTTGTTCTTGGGTGCCTCCATTCATTTGTTTGCTTTGCACTGGCAAGATCACAGCCATATTGCATCAGACGCTGTCTAAAGAGAGATAATCCACGCTGCCTTGGGGAGCTCAGAATCTAAATGCAGGGAATACACATTCCTAGGGAGAATACAGAGTTCTGGTGCGATTTACACAGATTAACAACGAAAATCCAACGTTGGGCAATAGGACCTAATATTATTAGGACCAACAAAATGCTGCAAAAGATGGCCATAACATCTAGCTTCATCATAGGAAATTTTTGTCCTCCCTCCCAACTTTCTGTAGCATCGCATGAAAAGTTCTGTAAATCTCAACAGTGTGCACATTCTTTCCCCACAACATTTTGCTTGTTTGGAGTACACAGGAGTGCAGCTAGGGTTGGATCTCAGAGCCAAAGTCCAAGTTCCCAAGTTTAGGATCCCTCAAAGGACCACCTAGATTATAGGTGGGATGGCAACCAGGTCCGGGGGGGAAGGGGGTGACGCTGCTTGCTGCAGCATCTTTAGACTGCAATCACAGGCATCTTAAAATAGAAAAAATGTACCGCACAGTTCCCGGTACTGAGCTGCACAACAGCTTCAGGAGTGGGCAACTTTTAGCCCTGTGTAGAATTTGATCTATTGACTACGCTGGTTGCCCACTCCTGTAATAAAGGCATTGCTCAGCTGCGGATTTTGCAGCTTCTTCATAGAGCTGCACAGGCAGTTCTTCTTTTGGAAAGTTTGCAAAGCCCTGCAGATCGGGGTGCGCGCCGCCCCGCGCCGGGTCTTGCCTCCCGTCTCCACTCCTTCTCCTCCTCCTCCTCCTCCGTCAGTTGACATCCCCTCTCGAAAGAGCCTGCGTTGCTCGGCCCCTGTGGGAGCGCGCCTGCAGGCCGAAGGGAGCCGTCTGCAGCTGCTGGCTCGCAAGGTCTTAATCCTTCTCGGGCCCCTCCGAGGGAGCGCGCCAAAAACGGCTGCCGGCGGGGCCGGAGGAGCTCCCGCAGCGCGCAAACCCGGCCTTGGCCGCCATTGGCCGTGGCCGAGGGCGGGGACCGAAGGCGTCTCCGCCGCGGGCAGACGCGCTGCCTTCCCTCCGCCGCGCCGCATCACACGCTCGGCGCCCGGGCCCTCCCACGGCGCTGCGCACTGGGCCGGGGCAGAAAGGAGCGAAAGAGGCTCGTTCGGCTGCGCAGCCGCGATTGGATCGCAGACCGGAGGGCGGCCAGCCGCGCCCCGTCCCTATAGGGCGCCGCAGCTGCCACACGACGCGCGAGGTCGGGTTTCTCCCTTTTCTTCGGAGCGGTCGCGGGCGAGGAACTATTTCGGGAATTCAGCAGGAGAGGCGTGTCTGCTGCTGCCCGCTGCCCTTCTGCGTCCGGGGCCAAGAGGCAGCCCGTGCGACTCGTCTCCTCGAGGGACCAGCCTTGCAGGTAGGCGCCGGTGCACTGGCGGCTGCCTGCCCTGCCCGCTGGGCCGTTCACTCACCCTTCTGGGCGCCGCGATCTCCTCCCGCCTCGTGCTGGGCTCGGGAAGCCGCGCTGAGTGGCGGACGGAGGACTGTCAGCCGCCTCCTGGCCTCGGCCGGCTGGCTGGCGATCCCTTCCAAGCCTCTGACAGTCCCGATGAGTCGCCAGGCGCCTTTTGTTGCGCGCATCTGAGACCCGGAGGTGTGGGGCACAGAGGATGGTTCGCTCCTGTTTTGCACCCTTGGCTAGAATGCGTGGCCGGGCCACATTTTACTTTTAGGAAGCCAGAAGCTCATAACGCTAGCCTTGCGAGAATTAGCTTTCGATTGTTCAAGGCATTTTATGTGCATTCTCTAGCCATCCTCACAAGTAGGTCGCGTTATCTCTGTCTTGTTCATGCAAAGGAAAGAAAGCATGTTTAAGGCCACCTACTTCCCCAACCTGGGACCGTCTAGGTAGTCCAGTCTAGTCGGGGAAAGTTGCACTGGTGAGTTCACGGCAAGGCGGGATTTGAATCGGGGACTTCCTGATTTCTCGCTCAGTGTCTTTAGGCATCACGCTAAAAGCCTTCTCCTGCTGTCTCCCTAGGAAACGGTACCAGAAGGTACACTGCTTCTGAACATGGAGGGTCTATTTAACATGTAGGCTAATAGTTTCCGTGAATGTCGCACCCTTCATTTTGCCGGGCGATCCTGGTTTCTGTTCGTAATCGCGTGGCCCCGTCCATGTGTAGGTTCCTCAAGGAAGTGCATTGAAGGTTTGCATTCTAAAAGCAGGCAGCTCGCCACGGCGGGCATCTGTGATACGGGGCTTTCCCGCCTCCATTTCTCTCTTCGCTGTCAGGCCCGTTATCAGCCTTAAAAGTCCTGGGACGAGGGCACCAAAAATGCAGGGCGGGCAAATCGTGTGGGTCGTAGATCTTTTTAAGACAACAGAGCACGTCTGAGCTTCGCTTGTGGCGCCTGAGCCAACGCGCGTTGGCCGCAGCTTAGGTCTGAACGTGGAGGGGGATTTAATGGTGTCTCAAGCGCCAACATGCGTGGTAGGAGAAGACACCGGCTCTGGGAGGGAGAAGAATCCCGGGAAGGGGCGGCCGCCTGCCGCGCCAGTTCCAGACTCCTCTCAAAGCGAGCTGGGTTCCCGCTGGAGTTGGAGCGTGTTGTAATAGGGAAACCGGCAAGCTATTGAGCTTCGTGCGAAGGAAGGCGGCAACGCCTCGCTGCTCGTCCGCCGCAGTTACAGCCTCGCCGGGCACAGTGCAAATGGCGCTTGCTCCGCTTTGCGTGGAATTCGGGGCAGGCAGGACGGCGGCCCTTGTGGAGCCGTGGGCCTAAGACGCACCGGCCGCGGCGGGGAAGGGTTTTAAATAAAAGGCCGGGCGCACGGTCCCGATCCTCGGAGAGACGGGTCTGTAGCTTTGCTTGTTGATTTCTTCCCCTTACACGCAAGGAGGCGTGGCTTGACTTGCAGCGGTCCGCACGAGCCTCCGCAGGCTTGCGTGACGCCATCGTTGCGCACTAGTGCTCCGTTAAGGAGGAAAAGACGGAAGAGCCGCGCAAGGCCTTTGCAAGGTCATGCGCCTCGGTCTGGAAGAAGCCTTGATAGCAAGAAGTCCCGCGCTTATCTCCTGCGTGCGTAAGTTTTGGAGCATCTGCTACCGTGCAAGCCTGTGCCTGCTAGCTCGGAAGGAAGCTCACTTGTCTTGGGTGGAACTTGCTGCTAGGCAAATGTGCAAAGGATTGCAACCTACCTGTGTTCAATCAGCACATAAATGCAAACTGTTTGTGAAAGGCTGCAGGTAATTGGCACTGTCTGTACTTTGTGGATTTCATTTCCCACTCATCTCACTGTTTACAATTCCACCCCAGTGTGTGCATGTGTTTGTGTGTACATTCACACACACCCACACAACACACACACCTGAACCACAGGATAGCAGGCCATGCATTGTGAAATTCTTTTTCTTCTTGATCCTCTCCTACTGGCGGTTGCACACCATCATGGCTAAAGAATCATTAGGTGGAGCCACCCTAAAGGTGGATATAGGATTGCCCCTAATGCTTTCTTTAAGATATTTCAGCTAAATTCATTCTTGATTCCTTTTCCTATTTCTTTTTAATGTGTACAATCAGTCTTTGCATTTCGTGGCTTGTTATATGACCAAAATATTCTCATTTTCTCTATTTTCACAATTTCTTTATACATTATCTTAAATACCTCTTCCTCGATCACCTTCTCAGTGCAGTGCCATTCACAACATCCTGCAGACTGCAAAGCAGTTGGGCTGAGGATGGCACTTCTAGTCTCACTCTCACATAGTGTTGCTTCATTGTGGCTTGACCAACAGTCCTGGGGTTGATTTCAGATCACCAAGGCAAAAGGTGCACGGTCTGGTTTTGGCACCCTCTCTTGGTCTTGACCTGCACCTGTGAGCCAGCCCACTGTTCCTGGATGCAGGGAAAGAGTTAGTCTTGGATGTCACTCTTGCAATAAGATGAAGCTCCCTGTCCATTGTGCATGCACAGTGTTTTAATGTTGTTTTCATTCTTTTCAGCAGGCAGCAAAATGTCTTGGGCTGGTTCTGAGAAATATGTAAGGTTATTTTTGACTCGCAGTGGACCCTAAATTCTGTTCATTCCATTCCTCCTCCTGCTGGAAAATGTCAGATTTGGCTACTGCCCAAATAGTTGTTCTGCCTCTGATAACAAAACTTGGCACAGCGCTTCCCGGTGTTCTGCTCTGTGGAGAAGAGCAGTGAAATGACAAAGATGAATGCTTGCTTCATCGTGGCCTCTTTATTCCATCCCTCCTTCAAAGAGCAGAGGATGGCATTGGCGGTCCTTCTCCATCTCTGTCTTATCCTTGCAGCATCCTTGTGAGGTAGGCCTGGCTGACAGAGAGATCGGCCCAAGGTCGCTGAGCGAGCTTCAAGGGCAAGTCGGGTGTTGATCAAGTCTTCCTGATCCAGCCCCCGATTATTACAGAGCGCTGGCATCCGTTGTTTGCTGTCTCTCATTTGCTCTCTGACTTGTATTTATTCTAAGCAGGAGTCAGAAAGGACAACCAGCTGCCCTTTAAAAAAGGAGAGATGTCCATTTACAGGTGGACCTAATGTGCCTTGCTGGACAGCATACCCTTTGCTACAAACAGGGTTGTAAGGCAAACAATAGAATAGGTTAGAAAGACCCCCCCCCCCCATGGACATACTGATTCCTCGTTCAGCCTGCTGACCCCCAGATGTGTTGGGCTTCAGCCCCGGACATCTTGGCCAATGGTCACAAACACTGGGATTTGTAGTCTCAAACACCAAGGCACCAAGTTGAGGATGGCAGTTCTCCCTGAATGGAATAGCCATAAAAGTAGTTCTGTTTTAGCTGAATTTGGGCAGCGCTGTAAGGCTGAAATCACAGTGACCTGTGCTCACCATTTCTTGCTTCTGTTGCAATTCCAGTGAGTTGTAGTGGCGTGAAGGAAAGAGGAAACCTTGAAGCTACTGTAAGAGCATAGGCAGATTTCAAGCCCAAGGCCTGTCACTCAGTTGTCTCTGAAGAAAGCTCATGAAAGCTCAGCTTTAAAAAGCACAGATAGCAGGCAAGTTGCTTTTAGCTGACCCTTGGTGATCTTCCTTCAGCGCCAGATCTCATGACTCATTCTCTGTCCTGTGAAGCTTCCTTAGAAAGTTGATTCCAGAAAGAATTCACGAATTCACTGGCAATTTGTAGGTTCTTTGTATGCAGAACTGTGGTGGACTATTGAAGAGGGACATGACAAGAGATGCATGAAAATATACATGGTGTGGATAGGGAGTTTTTCTCCTGCTCTCATATTGGCCTTTTTGAAGCCATTTCAGAAAATAGAACAGTCAAATAAAATGTAGATCTATCTGGTTCATAATACCAGAACTCAGGGTCATCCAAGTATTATTATTACATCATTACATTTATATCCTGCCTTTTTTCTCTTGTAAAGAACCCAGAGCAACTTACATAGCTCTCTTTTATTGTCATAAAAACAACCCTGTGAGACAGGTTAGGCTGAGAGTGTCCGACTTGCCCAAGGGAGCTCCACGGCCAAAGTAAGATGAAAAATATTCAGGGAAGAACTTCTTCACACAGTGCATAATTCAGCATTAAAACTCACTACCATACTCGTATGATATAGATACTGAGGATGAAACGCAAATACTTTGGCCACCTAATGAGAAGGAAGGACTCACTGGAGAAGACCCTGATGCTGGGAATGATTGACGGCAAAAGGAGGAGGGAATGGCAGAGGTTGAGGTGGCTGGATGGGGTCGCTGGGGTGGTCGGAGGGGACTTGAGCGGACTCCGGGGGATGGTGGAGCACAGGAGAACCTGGAGGAATGTTGCCCATGGGGACATGAAGGGTTGAACACTAAACCATATGATACAGTGATAACCCTCAATTGAATGGCTTAAAAGAGGTTACACAGATTCAAGAAGGATACAGCTATCAATAGTTACTTCTGGGATCAGAAGCAGCCTGTATTCCAATACATGTTGCTGGGGAACATGGCTGGGAAGGTGCTGTTGCACTCATGCCCTGCCTGGTGGGCTGCTCAGAGGCAGCTGGTTGGCCACAAAATGTCCAGCTAGATGGACCTTCTAATGACGCTCCTAGTCATGTCGACCGTAGATCCAGTACAGGACTGTGAAAAGGCACTCAGCATGACTTCTTGTTGACTTCTTTCCACAGGTTTGAATACAAGCTTCACATTTGTAGGTGATAAGACATTTCCTTATTTGTTCTTAAATAAAAATAGGGAGGCTGCAGCAACAGCTGTGTAAATCAATAGAATGAGAAATGTGCGAGTTTTCAAATTGTGCTTGCAAGTATATTCTTGAAGAACTGAAGCTTATCCTGCAGTAGAGAGCCAGTGTGGTGTAGTGGTTAAGAGCCTGGGACTGGGACTCAGACAATCTGGGTTCTAGTCCCTGCTCGGCCATGGAGCCAACTGGGTGATATTGGGCCAGTCACAGACTGTTAGTCCAGCCTACCTCACAGGGTTGTTGTTGTGGGGATAAGATGGAGGAGGAGATGTAAGCTGCCTTGAGCCCTTTGCAGGAAAAAGGCAGGATATAAATAGAAAAATAAATAAATAAATAGGGTTCTGGTTGTTGAGCTGTGCAGAAGACTGCCTTTGTTGTCCCTCTGTATCAGATGACTACAAATAATTAGATTACATGAAAGAAGACACCTGTGATGCATAGTCAGTTCTGCCTTCATTACAATTTCATTACAATTCTCTGAATCCACTTGTAATGAAAATGTACAGCTAACAGGGCACAAAAACAAAAAGGAAGTAATGTTGTGCTTTTTTCTTTGTAAGAAATGGTGGAGTTTTTTTAAACCGTAAGAACGATTTCCCTGCCTTTATAGCGATTGCAACATTTCTGAGCCTTGGCAAGATGATTCTTACTGTCTGTTTCTGGAACAGGAAATCTTCCACGTTCCAAAATATTTCCATTTGTAATGCCTGACAGCTTTTTGGCAAGTAGAAAAGCAAGGTCATTGCTCTAATTTCTCCACCGCAGCTTATATAGCTTTAAAAAACCTTCAATTAAACTTGACTTAACCTTTCAGGTGCTACTGGCTATGCACGCTTTTGATCAAGGTGTCCTGTGAAGCGTGGGTGGAAAATTCCACCATTGGGGTAAAAAGTACAGCACGGGTGGGAGGGAATTTTCCCTTGAAATAGGACAGAAAGCTGAAAGCAGCCTTCTTCAACCTGGTGCCCTCCAGCTGGTTTGGGTCACAACTTCCAGCATTCCTGACCATTGCCCATGTTGGCTGGGGCTGGTCAGCGCTGAAGTCCCACAAACCCACAGGGTATGAAGTTGGAGAGCTCAGGCTTAAAAGATTGCTGCTTTTATATTGGCAGTTCAAGTAAATTATTCTTGCATTCCAGCTGAAGTTGTGAAACTGCCTGACCACAGTTGCCATTCTAGCTCACCAGACTCCTGGGTTTAGGTCAGGCTTGTGTTGAAACACTAGCTTGGTCCCCAAGGACAACGAAAGAGTGGATGCAAGTAACTGAACGGCTGGTGGAGGAAGAAATTATCCTGCAGAGAAAGTAAGTGGTCTTGCTTGGGACGTGGATCTCTCTCCCTCCACTGCCAGCCTGCAGCACACCAGTTTTTTATTTGTGGGCTTATTTATAAGAGTAACATACAAACAGAGCGAGTCAGAAGGGGCCTCCCGGGCCATCTAGTCTGACCCGCGGCTCCAGCCGGCTCCACTCACGACATGCCCACCATGTGCATGTAGGTTAGGTGCTCTCCTTTTTTTCATGATCTTGTCATCTGGACTCTCTCTAGGACTTAAATTACATGCAGCACTAGTTCTCCTCTACTCAGCACTGGCTTGGCTTCATCTGCTGTACTGTATCCATATCAGCACCACAGTTTAAGAAAGATGCAGACAAGCTGGAGGGTTCAGAGGAGGGAAACGAGGATGGTCCGGGGACTGGGAACAAACCCCTGTAAAAGGAGAGATGGAAAGAACTGGGCCTGTTCAGTCTGGAGAAGACAAGACAGAGGGGAGATATGAGAGCACTCTTCAAGGACATGAAAGGTTGTCACAAAGAGGAGGGCCAGGATCTCTTCTCGACCATCCCAGAATGCAGGACATGGAATAATGGGCTCAAGTTACACATTTTGGCTGAACCTTCCGAAGAACTTTCTGACTGTTAGAGCAATACAACAATGAAACAAATGACTTGGGGAGCTTGTGGGCCCTCCCACACTGGAGGCGTTGAGGATGCAGCTGGACAGCCATCTGAGAGGAATGCTTTATTTTGGAGTCTTGCACTGGGCATGGGGTGGACCTGATGGACTTCTGACCCATTTCTACTTTTCTATGATTCCCTGCACATCCATACACCCCATGTTCTGACATACTGCTTCTCACTCACCCCCATCCCAAGGAAATAGGACGTGGGTTTATTTGACTGTTCAGTTCTGTAACTGTAACGGATTTTAATTCTCTGCAGGGTAATTTTATTATTTTTACTGCTATTCATATGTTACACTGTATTTTTGTATTTGATGAATTGTATACTACCCAGAGAGTTTTGGTGACTGGGTGTTATAGAGATAAAATAAATAATAGTCATTGGCAATAATATTTTAGGTAAACAAGGAAATATAAAGACAACTCAGGATAAGAACCCCAACCCCAATAAATAATTCTTATGCTCAGAACAGAATGGATACTATGGGTCCCAGTTTCCCAGAACCTCCCATCTCTCTCGGCCCTTCCCTCCCCAACTGGCCCTTAACAAATACAATAGCATCTTTTGGTCTCTCTGCTAACCAGCTCCACTCTCACCCATTCTACCTTTCCACCTGGGTGCTTACCTGTAAGGTTTATTACTGCTGCTGTCTGTGTTGTGGAAGGGATCGTAGCATGCAGTGACCTGGTGCTATTGCAAGTCATCATTTCCTTGAACTGTTGGCGTAGTGATGCCATTGGTGATGCCATTTCATGGCTCAGTTGCTCAATTTTTCACCTCTTATCAAAGAAATGTTGCAAAAGAAGTTTCTCCTTTATGATCCTTGGCATTCTACTGGTTATAAAAATGGCACCCGAGGAGCAGTTGGAGTCTCATCTTCCACAGTCGGCCACAGAAGAAGCAAACAGTGCTGAAAATGGACGCATTCGTACATTTTTACTTCCAAGTTGTGGTTCTGCATATCATATATTTCTTTCAAGGTAGAGGGGGGATGACTGATGTGTTTCATTCGGGCATGCTGAGAAAGTGTGCCTTACTCTGCTTTGGTGAATGTCAGAGAAACGGTTTCCAATCAATGTTTTTTCTTCCCCATGAAGGCTTGTGGTGGCAAATCAGTATCTGCAGGCAAAATTATGCCAGGCATGCTCAGTTTTCATGTCAGGCACACAGCCAGTGTTTTTAATTCCAGTAACGGAGGAGGGCAGCAGGAAACTGTCAGCTGAGATAAGAATGAGATCATTTTGCAGGCTGAGTGCACCACTCACTCTGTTAAAGAAAGGAAAGCAAAGGGGGAAAGTTATGCTGGAATCCTGTACAGGCTTACTCAGAAGAAAGCTATTCTGACCATACACGGTCATACCTATTCCTTTGTATACATCTACTTAGTTAATACTGATCTGTTTGCATTTTGTGTTTTAGGGGGAGTTTTGTTTGCTTTTCCAAAGCAGTATAATACTTTTCCATTTTAAAAACCAGGGAAATCCAGTGATCAAAAACCATTTTTACCGCTGAATCATATTGGCTTCAGCTGCACAAAGCCAGGAAATTGAAAACTAAGACTGATGCCTTAATCAACATGCTCCTAAGCAATTCAATTTAATCATAGGGCAACAAACAGGCATGGAGTGACTCACAAGAAATAGCTTTAGCAACACAATAAAGTTCAGGTGCTTCACGAAGGAACATCGGGTCAGGACAGTGTGAGGCATTTTTGCTGGCCCTGGACATTCCTCCTTCCCACCTGACAGAGGGAAGAGTTGGGAAGAGCGTGAGTGCAGTGCGTGTCATTGCGTAGCCTCAATACTGATCATAGGACACATCTGATTTCTGATATCCTGGCTTTGTAGAAGCACGAAACCAACGTGAGATACCCTTTTTCTGGTATTAAACCAGCAGGTTTCCAATCATTGATATAACTCTATTATTGTAAGCCTAGAGTTTGAGATTATTGCTTTTATATTGCACTTTTCCTGCAAGGAGCTCAGTGCAATCGATGTCCCTCATTTCACATTTTATCCAAGCCATCAGCCGTGCCAAGTGTAGCCCTTCCTATTCCTTCTACATTGTTCATTTTGGAGATAACACCGACCTTGAATGAGCTGTAGGATTAAAGTGAGAAATACTGTGGACCCTTTGAAAAGCAAGTGTGTGTTTGTGTGTAAGGAGAAGCAGTTATCATGCTGCACACTGAACCCAGTAGAGGTCCTTGTCCAAAATGACAACCTCTGAACTGAGCTGAAGGATGGAGGTCATGATATCCAATGCTAGCAACCAGGTTGCATTAACAGCATTCCCCTGAATGATGGCAACTTTGAGACTGATAATGTCCCATGAAGATAGCTTAAGACACTAGGTGCTTTTCAGCTAATATGGAATTTAATGCAGCTCACACGGAGTAGTTTGGGAAATGGTTTATTTTGGTGGATGTGAGTTCAGCATAATCCTTCTCTTCTCCAGACTAACACACCCACTTTCTTCAGGTGTTTCTCACGGGAGGTTTCCATACCCCTGACAGTCTGGTTGGTTTACATGCCCTTGACAAACTGTTCCCTCCCTAAGTCCATTCCAATGAATCTGCATTCTTCTTAAGGTGCGGTGCCCAGAAAGGAGTAGTAACCGAAATAAAGTGGAACATTACTTTTTGCGGCTTAAAAACCACAGTTGTACTAATGCCTCCTAAAATTATATGTTTCTTTTGTAGTCACATCACTCTACTGTCTCATTTTCAGTTTATGTTCAGTTGGTGGTTGGTAATGAGGGGAAAAACCCCCCCGGAAACTGTCTTTTCAAGCATTATTTAGCAGCTCCAAAAAAAAAAAAAAAAAAAAAAATGAAATGCAAACTCTTCTTTTTCCCCGTTTTCTTGGCCAGCTTTCTTAGTTTCTGGGACATTCCAAGGCCTGCTTCCTGCGGTTTTGTTCTCCACCAACTTCTGTGGAACCAAGTTATGTCCACTGCTGCTTTAATAAATCTGGTTAGAAATGGGGGGAACCAAGTGAGGAGAGCGCTGCTGACGTCTCGTATTCTGCAAGACGACAAGCGATGGGTGGTCGTGTGCCAGAGCTCCACTACTGAACGCAGAACTTCTCGCTTTGACCTGGACGGCAGTGGCCGCCCTGCCACGTGGGACTCCTTTGGTATCTGGGACAATCGCATTGACGAGCCCATCCTTCTCCCGCCAAGCATAAAATACGGGAAGCCGATCCCCAAGCTCAGCCTGTCAAAGGTGGGCTGTGCCAGCCACATCGGGAAGCGGAAAGAAAATGAAGATCGTTTCGATTATGCTCAGCTGACCGAAGATGTCCTGTATTTTGCTGTTTATGATGGACATGGTGGGGTCGCAGTTGCTGACTTCTGCAATAAGTACATGCGAAAATATATCCTGTGAGTACACTCATTTTCTGGCCGTGGGTTCAGCTCTTTTACAGTGGAGATCATGTAGATAATGTGCAGCTGGTAACCTCTTTCAGTTCTTGTGTTACTACTCTTAAGGCACCTGAATGAATTTGTAGGGTACTGCCTGGGATTGGTTTATAGGTCCTGAGGTGGGAGGGTAGGAACATGCCTACTTTTGCTAGTGCATGTTGAATTTGATATAACTGTTTTGAGCCCCACGTTTTGGTATAAACGCTTGATAGGTATCAAATGACTACATGAAAATAAATAAGGGCTCAGAAAGGAAAGCTGCAAAAATGAACTGTTCTGAAACACAAGTCATCTACTATGGGATTGTTCTTGTTACTGAAATGAAGATGTCTTTTGTATTAATAAACAGGTATTACTAGTAAGAGATTCTTTCACTGTATCTCATCGTGGTCCATAAGATTTCTGTGGGATTGTTAAGACCCACTGCAGGGGTCCTCTTAGCGGCACACTAAGAAAGCACATCCTTTAATTTTTAGGGTTGGCCCTTCCCGGAAGTAATATGAAGAAGTTGCTTCAGCATTAAATTTTGTAGGACAATACTCTTCCCTCACCTCTTCCTCTGTGCCGTTTAAAAGAAAAACCAAACTCTTGCCCTGCTATTAACTTCAGCTGCAGTAATATTTAAGGCCTACACTGTCCTCCCCAGTGGTTCTTTGAGTGAGTTTCGAAGTTGTGTAGGAGCCATTTGTATGTGGTGATGGCTGTGTTGTTGCACTTTTTTTAAAGTACGCTTAACAGGTTAACGTGGGATAGAAGCCAAAATAAATTCACCACTCTACCCAAACAGTGATGCTTTCCAAATGTGGCTATAGTATTTGAATTGCGTTAAAAGGTAGACTTCCCCCGGTAGAGCATTGCCCCAGCGAGGTCAGTGATCGGGAAGGTTGTCCTTTTGGATGAATATGTGCAAGTCAGAGTCTGCAGGTGTTCTGCAGTCGCCAAAGTTCTGCTGCTTCCTCTTCCAGTTAACTCAACCAGGAAAGTCCCATGCCCGACCCTTCCAGCAGGAGAGAGAGAAGCAGAGCATAGTGATTTTGCACTTTGCCCTGTGAAGGTACCAGGTGCCTCCATACAATGGCGGCCATACAGACCTTATCTGCTCCAGGACAGGGAAGTGGAGGGCTGGGCTCGGTTTGCTTTGGTTGCTAGTCTTCTCGTGGCCAGCAAAGTGGTTGAGGGTTAGCGCTCGGGTTAGGCTTCTCCCGCACGCCGGCTGCTCGACACGTATCTGGCACGCTGGGGCTGCAGGCAGGGCAATCGGGTGCATCTGCTTGGTGCTCTTACTTCCTAAATAAATGTTCAGTTTGATCCCATCAATTGTCCGCTGAAGCTGTCTGGCCAGTTCCCAACAATCGTTTGGAGGGATAAAGTTCTTGAGATCAGAGTGGTTGTGTTTTCCTTGAAGATAATTTTAATGCTTCATTTCCCTTTATTTTTTTAATTTTCAGAGAATTTCTTGCTGAAGAACAGAACATGGAAATAGTATTGTTCAAAGCTTTTTTAGAAATAGATAAAGCATATATGCAACATGCTCGCTTGTCTGCTGATGGTAAGTACAACATGGGTTTTTGTGCAGCAGTGTGGGGAGGAGGAAATTTACTCTTGATGTAGCAGCCTGTGGTATTTTGTTGTCGCTTGAGGCTACCTGTGTTAGGGAGAAAACTGTAATTTGAATACACTCAAAACCTGTTTTATAAAATAGGCCATATTTTGGGCCTGTGCTGCAGAAACCGATACGAAAAGAAATAATTTGAAATGTCCATATGGATTGGAGTAATGGCATAGGACCAGGTTCTCTAGAAAAGATTGACTGACAATACTCACTGTCAAGTTAAAATTAAGTAGATCTGCTCATCCCTAATTTAAACTAAACTGTGGGAGTTAAGTGTTTTTAGAAATGTGTAAATTGCAATGATATGCATAACTGATATGTTTTAGATTCTTTAAAAGAGCTGGTTGATATATACCTGAAAGCATCAACCTACACTTAGTGTAGAGGTAATGCTTGATGACTATAATGGGATGTACCTTCAGTCCTAGACATGCCAAGACTATGCTGTAGTTTTAGGCACATTTATTTGGAATTAAGTCTCATTGATTTCCAGGGAGACATTTCAGGTAGAAATGGTTGGGCTGCAGTAGATCTGAGCAGGCTGTTCTCTCTTAAAGGTTTTTACATTCTACTGCAGCCACCTGAAATACCTGGGGACAGGTGTAGTTCATGATACAGGCCTGCATCACTGTGGAAAATGGTCCTATGTTAAGGTCTAAACGGTGGAGAGTTTGCTCCATAGTTACCCCTGAATTGTCATGACTGCAAACAAATCAGAACAAAAGCACATAATATAAAAGCCTGTTGGCATTTAAAACACGCCTGCACATTGGTGTGACACGTGACAGCTTCATATTTCATCCTTCTGGCTTTTACATCCTGCTTTCTCATGAAACATAACATGCACTCAAGTCCAACACTTAATCTCATTCCGTTGGCTCTGATTATGATTAGATCAGCTTTTCAATGGGCTATGATTGTTGGATGAACTTCTTTTGATTTGTTTGTAATTGTGAGTTACACAATCAAAGCAGAAAGAAAACAGAAAAAAAATTAAATCAAGCATTAGTGTCTCCTTTCATAGAATTAAAGCCAGTCTATTACAATGAGTACATATGTATTATGCTCTCCTATACGTTTTGTGCATAGCAAAATATGCTACAATTACTTAAGGTAATTATGCATAGACTTCAGTAAAAGCAGCTCAGCTATCCATGTATTTCTCCATTCATAAATTATGCTTAAGGACCCCTGGATACAAAAATATAGTGGGGCAGGCCCCTCTTGTTTAGTGAAGAGCTGTCTGCACATGACCTCCATTTCAGACCGTATAAGTGTTCAAGAACCTAAAAACATCGCTGATCAAAGAATAAATGTAGCTTCATAGCCTGTCTGATAGTTGGAACTTGTTCGATCATTACACATACGTATAATAGATGGAGGGCCGTAACACCAGGAGAATAACAGCACTCCTGCAGAGTCAGGCTTACTGAACAATTAAAACCCTTTTAACCAATGGCACTTACTGATGGGCAAATATGATTTGGATCGCACTGTATGGTGACCTGGTTGGAAAGGCTGTTTGGTGGCAGGGATGGAGAAGATGGAATTAAAGTTCCTCACAGATGTGCTGATATCAGTCTTATCTTTGCATTGGACTGTATGATTGAGTTCTTCCAGATGTGGCCGAGTGCTAAAATGGCCCAGAAACGCATGAGGAATACTTCCCCCACTTAATTGGCTACTGATCACGTGATTCCATGTGTTCTGTTAACTGAGTCTTTTGTTATGTGGGTTGTCAGTGTTCCGTGTTGTTCTAGGCTCATAATTAGCAGATAAAAGGGAGAAAGTAAATGGTGAGAACCTGTGTGTGTGTTAACAGCACCAGGGAAACACAGAGTCTAAAGACAGACATACCCTGTAACTACACCTCATTGATGTAAGGGGCAAGCTGTTCCTTCTCTTGATCCAGTGAGCACACCCAGAAATTTGGGTTGGAGCCATTTAGAGCATGCCATCAGTTCATACAGTCCCTGTACATTATTATACACAAAAGGCAAACTCTTGTCCCAAGAAACATGCAGTCTCAGGTATCCACCTACCTCCAAAACTGTTGCTTTCTTACAACCATGTAATGTGTCATGGTAAAATCTTGCTTATTATGCTGAGTTAAATGGTGAAAGAAGTGTTAATAGTACAATGAATTATAACATTTGTTTCCTAGTTGAAGAAGTTACTAGTCAAAACCATGGTTTTACAATTTTACTATGTCAACCTGCAACACTGAAGAAGCAAGAGAGCTGCAGAAATGTGTGTCTTTAGGTTTTCATAGAATTATCTAACTTTACCTAAGTTTGGTGCCTTTGCAGCATCTTTTTCTGGGCACATTTTTTGCACAAGCTCTACTAGATTGAACAGGAATTGTTCCTTGCACAAGTCCCCATGTGCTGTAGCAAAACAGTGCAAGCAAATTCCTAGTGAGCTGTGCTTATTAGGCTATTGGCGATGGTTGTATTTTAATATTCAACTTAGTGGGAGCATGTACTTTTAGTGCCCATTAAAGTTACCATCTTTGCCTTGTGAACATGGCTCATCTTTTTTGACAAACTCAACTAGCCATGTGCCTTTTCCTTAGCAAAAAGCTGGAAGTAAAACCCAATAATGTCTTTATGTAACTGAGAACAATCATAAGGGTCAAATACAGAATAAAAACAATATTTGGCTCTTTCATACTACATTGTGCAAAAACATTACCAAAATAAAATGGTACTCTTGCATGCTTACTAGAGCCCTGCATTTTCAAACTAACTTTAAAGTCTCTTACCAGAAGCTGTGCAGATGGATTAATGAGGTTGCCAAGGGAGACTGATACATAGTGAAATTGGACGTAGTAATATTCACATCTTCTGCAAGCTGCCCGAGCAGAGCTCCAATGCATAATGAGTACTCCCTTTCCCTTTTGCCGCTCTCCTCCTCCCAAGTGTTGCAGGTTTTCTTTCTCTTTATTTTAAGCAAAATTCCTGGGTGAATTTTTCCTATTTGCCTCTGTGTACATGTTATTTATGGCAGACACTGTACCTGACCAACAGCTCTAGAATTGGAGGCCCGGGACTCTATATGCTGGGCTTCAGTGGAAAGAGAGAGATCTGCTTAAAGTGGTCCCAGGTGAAGGAGTCTGGCGGTTCCTAGCCTGGACTACTGGAAGGTTCCCACATCCTCTTTGTCACATTAGTTGAGATGAGATGCTCTAAAAATGTCCAGTGAGTGTTAAGATACCTATTGAAAGATTTTTAGATTATATATTTCTGTAGTGATGCTGTCTAGGAAACCAAGAATCTGATGTTTCAAAAAATGTTGAACCAACTTGTGCTCTGAGCTGATCTTTTCCTTAAAATGCTGCTAGATAAATTGAAAGAATGTGCTAGTGACTTGATGACAGTGTGATTCCTTGATTTTGGAACTGTGCTACTGCTTAGTGATCCGTGCCACCAACCTGAGCTGCTTTCCTTCCTCCCTTCATTCTAGCGTAGCTTCCAAAGGATCCCCCTGTAAACCCAAATTGGCATGAGCTAAGCATCTGCGAGCAAATTCTCTTTCTAACCCTATAACTGTGAGTTATCGACTTCATGCAATAGCTCCCCCAGCTTCAGTTAAGGTGGTCAGGAGTATTCCAGCATATGTAATATGAAAGGTACTTCTGTCCTGTTTTTTGAACCACAGAATGCCAGGGAGAGGGAAGCAAAACCATGAAAAATCAACAGCAGCCACAGCACCTATACAGAAAAAGAAAACTCAGCAGTGACCTCTGGAATGAAATTATAGTCCCCCAAGGCTTAAACCCTAGTAAAAGGGCAAAGTGAGTTTCCTGGGGAGCAAATTCCACAAGCTCAGCACTGCCCTGCTCCAAACTGCAGGATCCGTGATAACAGTAGGAGACAGATAAGAGTCGGTAGCCTCTTGCAGGAGGAGGTGGGATCCACGAAGAGTTAACAGGAATTGCATGTCATACCAGACACTTGTAGCAAGACCATAAACGTCATTTCTCTTTCCAGGGCATGAAGATCAGCCCTTGCTTTGGTGAACAGTTTCCAGAAGTATTATACACCCACACAGATATTTTGGTAGATGGAGTAAGAAATATGAACATGGCATTTGCTCTCTTAACGTGAAATAATCTCACATATGCCACTCTGAGTTCCTTAGAACAGGAGTGGGCAGAAAGCAGCCCTCTGGGTGTTTTGGGTGTTAGCTCCTAGCATTCCTGACCAATCGTCGTGGTGGCAAGGGCTTCTTGGAGTTGAAATCCTAACCATCTGGAGACCCAGCTTCTGCCTTCCTTAGAAGAAGGCAAGATAAAAATCAGATTTCTTCTGAGTATTAATAAAGTGTCCCAAACACATCTGTCATGGTGCATCCATCTCTTAGTATATATGCTGAAATTTATCATTTGGAAAGTATGGCACTGGACTCTCATACTTTCTTTTCTAATATTTGTTCTTTGATCCTTTTTTGAGGGACTGTGATAGCTCTGTGCTTTCCAGGATCCAGGTTCAATCCCTTACATCTTCTCTTAAAAGAATCCAGATCAGAAAAACTGAGCCTGGGGAAAACAGGTGCCAGCAAATAAACTTTGGTCTAGTTTGACAGAGGTTTGGACATGGCAGCTTCCCAAGTTCGTAAATGAGGCTTCCGGCCAGGAAAGCCTCGAGAAGGACCAGAGTAAGGGATTGTTCACACAGCTGTGTTTGGCTGACTTGGAAGTTAAGAGACAGCTGTGCTCGCAGTCCGTAGCACTGGTACCTCCAGTGACTGTCCCTCCCAGTTGCTTTTAGCTTTGAGGTATGCTTGAACCTCAAATATCCCATGCACCAAAAATACCGTGCTAGGGAGGACTTCCTTGAGGGCAGCTTCTCAGTCCTGGGAAGCAGAAACAAAGCTTTGTGGTTTGTTCTGCAAATGCAGGCTATGCCAGCTGCTTGCTGCTGGGAAGCAGGAGAAGACTTGCCTCCAGGCATGGTCCTAGCAGGGTGTCCTGCCAATAGCAGCTTCCCCAGCCTGACACTCTGCAGAAAGACTGCATCACGCCATCCGAACTCAGCCTTGTTTTCGTGCAGGACAAGAGTGGGAAACTGCCCACAGTGGGAAACAGCAGGGCCAGCAACAATACTGTTTTGAGCTTGGCGACTTGGCCCTCTCTCCTAGGAGTGGTGTTGCAGTTTCAAAACCAAGGAATGAAACTGGGTGGTGGGGGGAATGAGTGGTGCTCTCCGGATCTGGCCTTTGATTTTTAAAAGGGACTGTGGGGAGAAGGCAAAAACTGTCTCAGTTTCTTACACTCTGCTGTGTTTTATTCATTTACTGGTTAAAACAGGTATTTTTAATGGCAATAGTACATTTCAATTTGCCTATTTACAATGCATGTTCATCTCCTGTGTACTCTCCACTTAAGCATGCGGAGTGGAGTGTGTGTAAAGTGCCCAATTTTTTTGCATTTCTTAAGAATTAACTTGGGATGGCATTCCTATGCACATTTGCTTGGAAGTAAAACCTATTCAGTGCATTAAATTGTACATTCAAATAAGCACAGATAGAATTAGGTTTTGTGGGCCCATGAAAAAAAGGACATTTGTCTTGTACAATTTTCTGATCATGCAAAAACCAAATTCCATAGGAGAAAAAAATGCTCAACTCTTTAGAAACTGATAATCAACTTGGAGGGAAAATTGAAAATTTAAAGGGCCACGTTGAAGAGCCATTTAATGAGCTCTGATGTGCAAGAATACCTGTTTTAAATAATGACAATATGGCCTAGTTTAGACCCTTTTTTGCAGATGCACTTTTCTTTCCTGTCTTAATTCCTCTGTTTTATGGTGCTTTCATTCCACAACAAGGCTTGATGCATGTTTGATCTTCCCCCAGTATTTGGTAGCCCCATTATTGATAATCAAGAGGTGAAGCTATATAGGCTGTCTGGTTATTGTGGTTCTGGGGGTGGGGTAGAAGAGAAATAAAGAACAGTTCAGTGCTCTGCTAAATCTTCCTGCTGTGAACCCGGTGAAGAATCGGCACAATGGCTGCATTGCACCATTGGCTAAAAGACATAGGACATAATCCTATGCATGTTTAGACAAAAAAGGGAAAACGTTCCTGCACCTCCTGGATGGTGTATGCTGGGTTCACAGGCCTTATTCCTGTCTAGACATGCATAGGATTGTGTCTTTTAAAAAGTCCTGCTGAATTCAGTGAGGAGACACGTACAGGATTGTGGCCTTGCAATGCAATCCTATGCAGCAGCCTTCCCCAACATGTGTTGGACTGCAGTTTCCATTAACCATCCAGCCTGGCCATGCTGGACGGGAGTCATGGGAACTGTAGTCTAGCACAGCTGTTAGGGCATCACATGGAGGGGGCTGGAACAAAAAATTACCTGGGAGCAAGTTGTATTGAAATCAGTGGGACTTACTTCTGAGTAACAATGTGGAGGATGGCCCATGACCCTCACAATGGCATGACTTGGGAGGGTATTTTTGCAGCCACTAAATGAACAAAATGGATTTCACACCTGCTTCAAAATGCCCCATGTATAGTGTAGCTGTGCCCTCGGTAGATCTGGAGAAAGGGAGTGTGACTCCCACAAACACTTACATGTTTGGTGCATGTCCTTTTTGGGAGGAAATAGTCTGAAGTAGCAGGGAAGGGAATGTGCTTTTTAATGCATGTGTGACCTTTATAACAATCTCCTGATTTGTACACCGATTGAGATGATGAAGCATAAAGTAGGTTTATTAGCAAGGAGAGGGTAGTTAGGAGAAAATCTACCCAGCAATTATCCAAAAATAGAACTCCTTTGAGAAAGATGCCACAACGGGTAAACCACTTCCCAAAGCTGCTTGGCATGAAAATGTTTAATTGAAAGATCATGTTCCCTGTAGCTTAAGACTTGACAGGGATTGTTTTGCCTGTAGAGCGACCTAAGGCAATTTGTAGCAGACATTGCCCACCTGAATGTGAAAATGATTAATTCCCCACCCCGCACCGTTGCATGGAGCCATGTTGTAAAACATGCTACTTCTTTCTTTGCATGCCCGTCTTTTGTTTCCTGCCTTCCTAGCTTAACCTCGTGCTCTGCAGCCATGTGTTTATTGGTGGTAGTGCAGTAGATGCTGTCTAGAACGTGAAGAGCTGATTGGCGGTTGCATGCGGCGCTCGGACTTTGACCGTCTTTTCTTGCGTGATGTTTATAGCTTCCTTGCTGAACGCCGGGACCACGGCCACTGTGGCCCTCCTGCGAGATGGGATTGAGCTGGTCGTGGCCAGCCTTGGTGACAGCCGCGCCCTCTTGTGCCGCAAAGGGAAAGCTGTGAAGTTGACCATTGACCATACTCCGGAAAGGAAGGACGAGAAGGAAAGGTATGCCACCCACGTGCGCTTTTTTGGACTTCACCTTGATTTAAAGTGTCTTGTGCCCCTGCTCCCTTAACTAATAAGCCAGTGTGCTGCCCGTTAGCTATACTAAGCTTTTAGCAGTACTTTATTTATTTATTAGAACATTTCTGTGGGCGGCTTACAACACAATAAAATGCAAAAATAACAATATAAAATTAAAATTAACAATATAAAATAAATAAAAAATATAAAAGATATAAAAGAAGTTATAAAAGAAGTCACCCTGGCCAGATAAATAAGCAAATATTGTTAACAATTAAAATGACGTTTAAATAAAAAGGTCTTCACCTGGCACTGAAAAACAAATAACGAAAAACAAATAACCTTTATAAATAATTATAAAGGTTTCTCTTATGGACTAAATCAGTCCGCAAAGCCAGCTAGTACCTAGGCTGGATCTTAGAAGTGCTGAAGAGAATGCGATTATTCCACTTATCACCAGAATGCTACTGCATTAATTTACTTGTAACTATATAGCTGCTGTATAAATCAGGTGCCAAAAATATCCAATCTAATGTTCTTAACAGAAACCACTGTATGGTGGATTTAATTTTTTTTTCTTTAAAATAAAATTGAAATTCATGAGGCCTCTTAGATAAAGCTTGAATCTAACACTCTTCTGCATTGTTTAAAGCTTTTTCACTAGCAGAGTATTGGGTCATAAATTGCATAATGGATGAACTAGGACCTGGTATTTGGATCTCTGTGAGCTGTGGATGAGGTTGCTAGATTCAGAGCAGTCATATTAGATTTCCCGACTTGACTTCTGTAACGCGCTCTACGTGGGGCTACCCTTGAAGACAGTCCGGATACTTCAATTGGTCTAGAATAGAGCTGCCAGGTTGCTGACGGGGACTGGGCGTTGTTCTCATATAACCCCAGTTCTCCATCAGCTCCACTGGCTCCCGATTGAAGTCCGGGCCCAATTCAAGGTGTTGGTTATGACCTATAAAGCCCTAAACGGCTTGGGACCTGGATATCTAAAGGAACGCTTGCGCCCATATATGCCCTCCCGCCCCTTGAGATCAGCAACAGATGCCCTTCTCCGGGAACCCTCTGTGAATGATATTAGGAGGGTGAGTATCCGGAGGAGGGCTTTCTCTGCGGTGGCACCCCACCTATGGAATGCACTCCCCAGAGAGGTCTGCCTGGTGCCGTCGTTATTTGTTTTTCGGCGCCAGGCTAAGACCTTTTTATTTAAAACTTATTTTAATTGCTAAATTATTGAATTAATTAGGATTTTAAAATTTTTAGCCGAGAATGCACCGGGGGTTTTTAAATGTTTTTTTTCTTTTAAATTGTTATATTATTATTTCTGTATGTTTTTATGTATTCTTTGTGAGCCGCCCCGAGGCCTTGTTGCGATGGGGGCGGCATAGAAATGTTTTAAATAAATAAAATAAATAATAAATACTTGTTTAAAGTTCTGGGCACCAAGGTGCAGACAAGTTGGAAAGGGTTCAGAGGAGGGTAGCAAGGATGATCCAGGGACTGGAAACAAATTCCTGTGAGGAGAGATTGAAAGAATTGGGCATGTTTAGTGTGGAGAAGAGAAGACTGAGGGGAGATTCCATAGCACTCTTCAAGGACGTGAAAGGTTGTCACACGGAAGTCCAGGATCTCTTCTTGATCATCCCAGAGTGCAGGACACAGAATAATGGGCTCAAGTTACAGGAAGCCCGATTCCAGCTGAACATCAGGGAGAACTTCCTGACTGTTGGAGCAGTACAGCAAAGGAAGCAGTGGCCTAGGGAGGTGGTGGGCTCTCCCACACGGAAGGCATTCCAGATGCAAGACGGAGGCAAAGATCACCTCACACCACCGTGCTGCCTCAAGAAAGACCTAGTAGGGAATCTCCCTTGATAGGAAGCTGTTGCATACACTGGTTATGTGAATGGACTGTGTGAGTAATGTACATGGCCACAGCAAGCATGTCACGCCTCCTCCTCTTTGTTTTGGTGAAGAATCAGGAAATGTGGTGGTTTCGTGAGCTGGAACAGCTTGGGGCAGCCCCACGTGAATGGCAGACTGGCGATGACCCGCAGCATAGGCGACCTGGATCTTAAGGCCTATGGCGTGATAGCAGAACCAGAGACTAAACGTGTTCAGGTAAGAGGGTGGGATCATTCCTTCTCTCTCCACACCCTTTCTTCTAAAGCTGACTTAGCGTGAAGGCAAAAGCTGCATGGATGGCACTGGGACCAACTTGCAGCAGTATTCCCCAGAGAGGTCCGCCTGGCGCCGTCGTTATTTGTTTTTCGGCGCCAGGCGAAGACCTTTTTATTTAAGCAGTATTTTAAATGTTAATATTATTGAATTTTATTTGGCCAGGGCGGCTTGTTTTATAGTGTATGTTTTATATTATATATTTGTATTTTATTGTATATATTTTAAAATGTTATTTTAATTTTTTGTTGTAAGCCGCCCCGAGGCTTTGGCGAATGGGGCGGCATAAAAATGTTTTAATAAATAAAATAAATAAAAAATAAATTTTCCACTGTTCTTTTCACCTCTGCTACCCCTGTCAATGGTTTTGTCTGCTGGGGAATAGGCACTAGTAGACTCCGTGTGAGTTACTGGAATAAGTCATGCTTCAGTCATGCTTTTGAAAATCCTTTGTCCAGAAAGACCTGAGGTAGCTTCCTCTGGTCAGATTCACATCTTCAGGTATCACCTTGTGCAACCCAGAGCCTTGTTCTCTTTTAAGCCAGCATACATAGGTCCAAAGCTGCCCACCTCTGGGGCAGATGGGTGGGAGAGTTTTTGCTGACTTCCTTTCTGCATCCATAGACTGAAGATGTGAGTGACTTAATGGATAGGATTATGGGTGTCGCAAGAAAATGATTCTGACGTCTGTGTACAGGGAAAGGGTGATCACTGTTAGTGAGCTTGGCTCATGAGCACGAGCAGAATTGTGAACAAATGGAGCCTCTGAGAATAAGAGGGAGGCGTGGGCATGTCCAGAAATTCAAAAATCTTTAGGGAAAAAGCCGAAGGGGGCAACTTCCACACTCTCAGAAGAAGGAAGTAAACATGGCCAGTGGTCAGAGAACATTGAGTGTCTGTCTGGGGATGGTGGGAATGAAAACTTTGGTGGGGAGGAGAACGAAATGAGTATCCTGGAACAGTTGTGGCCACCTAGCAGGCACTTCGCGTGGCATCATGTTGTTCATAGTCCTGTTTGTAGAATATATAATTTTAAAAGCCCATTCCTGAAGTTAGAGTGGGCTAAATTGTTGGTGACTCCCACTAAGTTCTGTGAGATGCTGGGTGAGGTGAAACCCATTTTTCCAGCCTGGGCAGAATGAAGAGGGGCTAGCCCTGTACTGAGAGGGGCTTTGCCAGGTTCCCCTTTAATAAAGCCCCATCATAGTGAAATACCACAACTAGGTTTGTGTGAAATACCACACTTTCCACAAACAAGCTGTTGTGGTTTTTAGTGTTGTTGGTTTATCATGTTGTCTGAACGCAGTCATAGTATTCCACCATGGTCAGTTTGATCTTCAGAAACCATGATAGGTTTGTTCAGTGGTTTCTCCGTACCATCATAGCTGTCCTGTTGTCTGATCCCAGGATTGTGGCGTCCACTGCCACAGGGTCCCCTGGAAAGGGTGACCACTGCCAGAGGTGCAGAGTCCGCTCTTCCCCTTGGTATACACCTGAATTGCGGGCGATGAAGCGGGTTGGGAGACAACTAGAGCGTAGGTGGAGGAAATCACAGGATGAATCTGACCAAACACACTTGAGAGCCCACTATCGGGCCTATGCTCTGGCGGTGAAGGCGACGAAAAAGAAGTTTTTTTCCGCTTCCATTGCCTCCTCACAATGCCATCCGGCGGAGCTTTTTCGAGTGGTACAAGGCCTGGTTCGCCCGGGTCCTAAGGAAGATCCGGTTCCACCCTCAAAGGCCCGCTGTGACGACTTTGCCAGGCATTTCAGGGAGAAAATCGCTCAATAATAATAAAATATGTGCCGACCAGTGAGGATGGGGCAGGTGACTTAGGCAGAGATGCACCTTGGAAGGAATATACCTTCAGCCGTCACACCTGATACGTGCCAACAGTGGAAAGACTTGAGTGGCGAGGGTGAAACCACAGTGATGTAGAAACCCCTCAATTCTCTGTCAGATCATGATACGCATGCAGGAGTACTTGTTGTGTTCTGTGAACTCAGCCATTGTGTTAGACATTTTGTTTGTGACTAATGTTATCTCAGAGAGAAATCTCTTGTTCGTATGCTGTAATTTTTGGAAAAACATGTCTTCTTTCTAGCCTGGTTTCTATGGAGTCACCACAAATCCAGACATGACCTGAATTTTTTTGTGTCATTTCAGTTGCATCATGCAAGTGACAGCTTCTTGGTCCTTACTACAGATGGCATCAACTTCATAGTGAACAGCCAAGAGATTTGTGATTTTGTGAACCAGTGCCACGATCCCACCGAAGCAGCTCACATAGTCACTGAGCAGGTAGGTATGTCCACGAACATGGCAGTCTGCCGTTGGCCAACTTTGAGCAGGGCCAGCATAGACGGCTTGAATGCTGTGTGGATCACGGTGGGACACCCTCCTACAACTGGGAAGCCCAGTTCATGTAATGTCTACCGATGGGTGATAATAGCTCCAAAGTGCGCGTTCTTGCATGGAAAAATGTTCCTTTGAATTTAATTCTGTTCTTCAGCTTATCAAGCCAATGTGGTGTCGTTGTTAACGAGTAGGGCTAGGCCTCGGGTGATCTGGGTTCTAGTCCCTGCTCAGCCATGAAGCCAAGTGGCCCACTCCCAGTTTCTGAGCCCAGCCTACCTCACAGGGTTGTTGTTGTGGGTATAATATTACAGGAGGAGGAAGAGAATGGTGTAAGCTACTTTGAGTTCTTTAAAAGAAAAAAGGCAGGATATTTTGTATTAATATGTTTCATTACGGTTATACCCTTCCTGTTGCAAGCAACTCCAGGGCCTACAAAGTACTGCCCTTCTTAATTTTATCCTTACAACAACCCTGTGAGGGAGATCAGGTGAAAAGACAGTGACTGGCCTGGAGTCACCCACTAAGCCTCATGGCCGAGTGGGGACCAGAACCCAGATCTCCTGACCCCCAGTCTAGCACCCGAACCACTGCACCACACTGGTACCACATAGAGTACTGGACCATATTTCCTAAACTACTTTTCAGTTTTGAAAAATCTCATCACTCATTTTCTCCAACTAATATTCCTGGGTGATGTTGACTATTTCCCAATTCCATGGCCTGAGAATAACTTGACTGAACACTCGTCTTCCAAAGTTCTTGGATAAATTTGGCTGCTTTCTTGCCCCTTGTCCCTCTTGGTCGTTAACTAGTAGTCAGAAAGAATTAACCAGGTGTGTCTAAGAGTTGATTCCTTCTTTATGAGTAGTGGCACCGGCCAGCTGAAAAGGGACACTTGTGCAGCCACTCTTAAGAAACCATTTTTCAGCCTAGATGTTTATAGCAGCAGCTACCCAGTCTTGAGCAAGACAGCAGCAGCAATCCAACTGCGGGAACTTCTAGTGGAGGCAGATGATCTTGCTCAGTCCATGGTTTGGCACCAGAACAGTCTTGGCCACATTGATGGATAGCCCCTTTGGGGAGAGAACAACTTTCCAGTTCTCTTGACTTCTCAGCAGCCTTTTGACACTGTCAGCCATGGCCTCTTGGACCAGCTTTGTGTTTTGAGGTTTTGGAGTGATGCTTCATCAGTACGCTGATCATGCTTACCTTTCTTTCTGTCTACCCTTTGGGTCAAGTGAGGCTGTCCTGGTGCTGAACTGGTGCCTGAATTTGGCAGTGGGTTTGATGAAGGCCAAAAAAACGTGACTCACTGGAGGCCCGGGGGGTAGGTAGTTCTCAAGTCCAAAAAATGGATATGCAGCCTACTCTAGATGGGGTTGCACTCCTTCTGTGTAAGAACTTGGGGTACTCCTGGATCCAGCTTTCTCAGTTGAGATCCCTTTCTAGCTTTGGCTGGTTCACCAGCTATGGCTGTTCCTGGATGTGTCGCCCTTGTTGGATTCATATAATGCTTCATTTGTATTTGCCTTTGAAAACAACCTATTCTTTTCTGCTTATGCAAAATGCAGCTCTCACAACTAGTACAGCAAGGTAGAATTACAATTCTGCAGACATTGCACTGGTTGTCTAGTGCAACCTGAGCCACGATTTTCAGGAATTACCTGAAATGATTTAGCTATTTTGGTAGCAGATACTAAAATTTCAGAACCCCACACATCTTCATAGCAGGTCTGCTCTTAGAATTATCTACCTGGACATTTGGATCATAACCTGAGGCCATCCTGCCCTGCCATGAGGCAGATAGTTAGCCATGAGAGAGCAAGCGCCCTGTGTGCAGAATGCACCCCATAGATATATGCCTCTGGCACTTATTCTGCAATCACCACAGTACCAAGTGAACGCCTTTCCCAGGAGTTCGAAGAACTCTTGTTATTGCATCTCTTCTGCTGCAGGTTTGGGTTGGTTTGGGTTGGTTTGCTGGAATGTTTCACTTTTTGGTGCAGGTTCAGTCTTGATTTTATCCTGTACCGTCTGGTTTCTTTTTAAAGCTTGCTTAGAATGTTGTTATTTGTTTTTTGGCACCAGGCCAAGACCTTTTTATTTAAACAATATTTTAACTGTTAATTGCTGTTTTTATTTATTGGTTTTATAGCTCTGCCGAGATGTATCCGGATTTTTAACGTTTATTCAACATTAGTTTTGTTTGCTCTGTAAGCTGCCCCGAGACTTGTTGCAAAGGGGGCGGCATAGAAATGCTTTAAATAAATCAATCAATCAATCAATCAATCAATCCTGTACATCGCCCAGAGTACCGCAGCTATTGGCTGGTTTAAAAGCACAGCAAGCAAGCAAAAAAGCAGAGTGATGGGTATCTGGTGGCTAACCTTCTCTGCCTTTTGCAACCTCTCCCACAGGCGGTACAGTATGGGTCAGAAGACAACAGCACTGCCATCGTCGTGCCCTTTGGAGCGTGGGGCAAGTACAAAAACTCTGAGATCAGCTTTTCCTTCAGCCGGAGCTTTGCCTCAAGTGGAAGATGGGCCTGAGCACCTTCTGCAGCGAGATGCTGAACGTGCCATTTTGTAGGAGGCTTCCAAGGAAGAAAGCAAGTCTGTCAAACAACATAACTTACTTGTCCATCTCTCTTTCAACAACTAGTGCTTTCTGTTTGGGTAGTGAATGGCTGTTAACTTGATGTCGCCTCTTAACAAACGTGTCTGTTACTGCTTGTCTCAAGCCAACAGTTTTCACCCCCTCCGTCTTCAGTCATGGATGCTTCTGTCTGCTGTTGCAGGGATGCTGGCTCTTGACGCCTGGCTGAGGTCTCCTTATACATAATGTACTCTCGGCCACATTTTAGAGGCCGAGAGAGAGTGGCAGAGGCCAGCTGGATCTCTCAGTTTGCCTCGTATTGCACTTAGGGGAGCAGGTACACAAGGAAGTATGGCATTTATCTCCCTCACCATCGTACGTTTTTGTTCCCTATTCAAAGAGAAGTTGAAGAAAGGTAGCAGCTGGGAGGTAGCAAGCTGCCTCTGCAGGCACACCTTGCTTTGGTCTGCTGGTTCCAAGTTCACCTGCAAAGCTGAGTCTGGTCTGAGCCCAACACGGAAGAGAAGTTATCTTAGTCATGGAGTTGATTAGGATTCCATACTGTGGATATCAAACGGCAGAGACTGCAAGGTCTTTTATATATTTATATATGTGTGTCCGTGCACTTGCCTGTGCACACATGTGCATGCTGTCTTTGCAGCCCTTTCTTCAAAGGCAGAGGGCAAATTTTATACTGGGTTTGAAGTCCACATCTGTTTCTTTGCTCGTGGGATCTTTGGCCAGTGCATGGCAAGAGTCCTTGAGGCAGCTGTAGGCACAAGATTTACAAGGGGGACCATATTATGTGCCTTTAGAGGGACGCTATGTAAGTTCTCTGTATTTATTTGTGTTCTTTAAAGATGCTTATCCTAAGAAACCTCTAATGTTACTTAAATATGCTCTACATGGGCTAAACTGTCAACATGTATTCTTTAGTTCCTTTTACGGTGATAAGTCTCTTTCTTTCTCTTCAGACTCACTGAAAAATGCTGTCCCAACGCACAAAGTTAACTGAGAGAAATATTGTGGCCAGAGGCCAGGCAGAGTGTGAATTGTACAAATGTTAAGTGCCAGCTTTTCAGACATAGAGGTGTTCCCCCACCCTGCCAAACGGGTAAAAGTTTTGTTTCCTTCCGTGGTTGATTTTTGCAAGGGAACAGCAGGTGCATATTTAAAATTCCCCCTGAATTTCAACTAAACAAATTTTGAGGCAAATTTGGATATAAAGGTTTCATTGAAGCTAAGAATATTTCTTCAGGAGAATCAGCACAGTACCATTTCACCATTTTTGGTATGAAAAAATAGTCTGTAACTGGAGTTCCTTAGTAGGATTTCAGAATTTGAGTGTAAGCATTTCTACGGGCTAAGGAAGCGATCTGGAACATTCATTTATGGGGACCACTCTGTTTCTCTAGATGTCACATGTAGATGAGAATGGCTTCTGTGCAACCAACCTGTGAGAATCCATGCTCTTTATTTTTTACATATTTGGATAATTTCCCTGGAGTAAAGCTAATTAAAATTACAGTGAGAATAAGTCCTGCTGGAGGTTACTTTGGACGGTACTTTGTACCAGGACGGAAAAGCACTGAGCCCTGATCACAATGTGAACTCTGGACCACCTGTTAATACCTGTACTGCCTGGCCTACACCTTTTGTATAAAGCATTCCAGTTCTGGTTCTGTGCCTAGTAGTAATGGAAGACATGCTTGGGAAACAAAGTGTACCCTGATATTGTCCTGTTGTTGTTCAGTGTGCATTTTACCTGTTTGTATAATATATGTAGCTATAAACAGTACTTATGAAAGGCTTTAGAAGTAAAAATACGTAAAAAATAAATTATTTGTGCATATGTACCATATCCATTGCTTTCACTCTAGGTCATTAGAGTTAAGGCCATGCTTCTCTTTACAGCTTCCAGGTTCCTGTTCTTTAAAACCTCCATGGGGAATTCCACCCCACTCCACCAAACAAATGCCAGTTCTAAAATAGGGATTTCCTCAGCAGCAGAAAGGATTAAATTCCCTCTCCATACCTGCTGTCCCCCACTCCACAGTTGTTTTATTTGCATTACATAAAGTAAATTAATCTGCATGTTGCGTGATTGAAGAGAGCATTTTACCTCACAGCCCATAAGTAAGATTAGCCGCATCGCTCTTCGGGCTGGGAAAGTGCTAAACTTAAGGACATCCTACCACACAACTTGCAGCGTGGCAAAAGTAGGGGGAAGATGCAGGCCTGCTGGACGTGGTCACTGTTACGTGTAGCTGTGATTTGAGAGAGTGCTGAGAGAAGGTTTGTTCAAAAATCAGGGACTCTTATTTAACTGGAGGGGAACGAAGAACTAAACTGGGCCGCACAAGCAGCAGCCCACCAAGCAAAATGTAGACCAGCAGCCATCCGTGGCAGCTCACTGAGGCCTTACTAAATCTGAGTTGTTTGCTGTGTGGCTTATAAGCAGGTTATCAGGTATCCGGCTTCCTGTAATACACATTCGGCTTGGTGGGTTGCAGATGGTTCAGGATTGCACCACAGGCCTCTGCAACACCGTCTGATAGCTGCCCATCCAGTAGCCAGCTGTTCTTCTGCAGAAGACAGCTCCCCATCCCTTGCAACAAAGAGTGGCTGGATGAAGGCCATGAGCTGTATGGTGCTCACTGTGCTTCGGTTGACTAAATCTGGGGAGCTCCCTGGCCTGCTGAAAGCCACCTCGGATGTATAGTCTTTGGCGGCAGAGTATCTGATTCTGTGTTAGCTAGATAGTTTGGAAGGTGGCAAGGAGTTGGCACTTTCTGATTTTATTGCAAAACTGGAGGTCTAGCCTAGCATAAAATCCATATGCCTCATTCAGCACTGGTGCTTATGCATGCTGTGTTAGGGCAATGGAATGGATCCCTTTTTAGGTAGTGCATAAACCACGGCTGTTCCAAAAGTGTGTGGGATTCTTTTGTTAATCCTGCTGGCCAAAGTGAAAAATATTCCTCAAAGAGGTCTGTGATAAAAGAAGGCAAAAATGTTAACTAATACAGAGCGAGGGTGATTGGTTAGCCATTTGGTGGAGGTTCCTCCTGTGTCCGGTCTAGGAAGCATTGCCCTCCCTCTTAGTTGGCCTTGTTTGTCCTTGAAGACCTTATGTTGTTAGATCTGATTGGCTACAAAATGGTATGACATGGTGTTTATATCATGAAACCTGATAGGCTGGATGTCAGAACAGGAGGAAAAACAAACAAACATAATTTGACCCCCAAATTAACATTGAAGCTGGGGAAGAGGTGAAACTCCAGCAAGATATAGTCTCAAATATTAGTAAAATTTTCACCCATCCCTTCTGTTACACAAGCTGAAATAGGCGAACCTTGGGCCCAGTCCTAACCAAAACCTCCATCAATGGCACAGATGTTCTTGCAGTCTACGAATGTATATCTGTATGTCACAGGGAAAATTAAAACCACTTGCTCAAAAGAGCTGCTAGTAGTTGTTTCCAGATATTGCAGGCCTTTTTTCTATCTAAACTTGCATGGGATTGCATTCTTACTAGTAGAAGACAGGACCATGATTGGCTAATGTGTACTTAAAAAGGGTGTCCAATAACTGTGGGATATATAGCTGTGATTTATATATTGAGTAAGTACGTGGAATCTGTGGCTCAGCCAATAGTTCATATTAAATGATTCCTTTTAAAACAGTATTTGTAATGGAAGCAGGTCAAAGACCGAACACCATTTTAATAAAAAGCCCTGTTCCCTGGAACTTAAAACACAAATTCACTTTTTCTTTTGTTAAATGAAATTCCTTCCTTTTAAAATAACTATATGAGCCCGAAGAATCATTGTCTGCACCTTACTTCCACCCTTGTAAAAAGTGAATGATGGTTCTTAAAGTAAAAGGGAATCGATCAAACTCAATGGTGGGAAAATGAGAAGAAACAATTGCATATTCAGAAGCCAAAATGGACTCTGGTTGATCAAAAGGATGCAGGATCAACACATGTTTTACTCTTCTTGTTTTCAACATACTGACCAATTAACAGGTCAGTTGAGTTTTGAGACTGGGGAAGGGTCAGTTTGAGTGTGCTTGAAACACTTGGATTTAACACTACTAATCAATAGGTCATCTTACCACCATGTTGAGTGTACCGTGGAGAAAGACGCTCTCTACAGGTGTTCCAAAGTTCTAAAGCTACAGTGTCTCCTCCAGGACAGGTAATGGTTGGGCGAGGACACCCGTTCCTGGATGTGGCAAGTGCTTTGGCAGCTTCATACTGACTTGTATAAATACTGAAGTGCACTTTTGTAAATTGTGTTGCAGATTTTTTGCCTTAGGACGTTTGTGCAAATTTTAATCTTGACAGTCCAGCCTGCATGGGGGACTCCAGCTTGGATAATCTTTTGTGCTGATGCCACCTGTTGTATTTCTGTAGTGGCAAAGGATGTGTATAGTATGTATGTACGCATGGGAATGCGGTGATTCCTTCTTTTTATGTATTGGGTCTGCCTGCTGTTTGATGGCAAAACAAACAACTTTCACTGCAATCCTACGCAAGTTTGGATGGAGAAAAGGGCTACAAAGGAGTTGTAAGCCTTTTTGTTCTGTCTAAGCTTACAGAGGACTGCATACTAGCTGAAGGCAGAACTGCAGTTGGCTAACGTACTTTAACGAGGGTGTCCAATGATTGAAGCCTGTGGTAGAGCTGTGATTTATATATTGTGTGACTGTGTGGAATTTATGGCTCAGCTGTTGCTTCATTTTACATGGTTGCTTTTAAAACAATTTGTAATGGAAGCAGGTTGAACACTATTTTAATAAAAAGCTTGCTCCCAAGCGTCTTGTGTAACTCTGTGTTGTTCTTCTGGTTTTGTTTTCTTGCTCCGCTGCATGTTTTTTCATACATCCTGGGGATACAGAAGTAGATTGTCCCACCTTCTTCAGCACCCACAACCTAGTAGAGTGGGAATTGGGGGCTAAAGGATAATGAGTGGGCAGGGTGGAAGGACAACCTGGGTCTAAGTAAAGGTTTTCTAGCCTTCCCTAGTCAGCCAGTTCTGTGATTGATGACGATGATGATTATAAAGAAGATTTTTCATTTCTATACTGCCCGATAGCTGACAGTCTCTGGGCAGTTCACAGAAATACATAGAATATAATTATCATATATATATATGATATGATATGAATGAATATGAATATTCATATGAATATTCAACTAGGTTCCTTTCCACTTGCCTCTAGCCAAACTGGGACTTCCTGCTGAGCGCGAGAGGCATTTAAGGATGCCTGATTGTCTTAGTAAAAGAAAAAAAGAAAAATCGAGGAGCATATAGGTAAACTGTAACTGAGCATATTAATGTTAATGACAGCCAGGGTGGTGGAATACTGAGAGCGTTGGACTGGGATGCAGGAGAACTGAGTCTTAGTCCCCACACAACCAAGGACGCTCGCTGGGTGACTGGGCCAGTTGTTCCATCTTGGCCAAATGCAACTCACAAGTGGGGGGGGACTGGAGGGGGACGGCCACTGAACTGCCCTGAGGCCTCCCCAGCCATCTTCCGCCCACCGCAACGCATCTCAGCTTCACAGGCCGGCATGCAGGGTGGGAGGACAGGGTGGTGGAGACCAGCATGCTTCCTGCTCCATGCTGGATGACCCAGAGGCTCCCAGTTCATGGTCCCACGGCCATTGCCACAGGATCACACCATCACCCAGTTAAAATGGAAGCTAATGATGTTAAGTCAGCCAGTATGGACTGAGTTTATCCCATGCCGCCTGTGCTTTCCTCTTTACTGCCATGCCCGGTGGAGGCTGGAGGATGAACTACTCAAATACTCTGCCAGAATGAAAGGCCCCCCAGGAACAGCCCAAGGGAAAACCGCTGCCTCCTACGTTTTAAGATCTGGAGCCGCTGCCAGCAATGTAAACAGTGCTGTGCTGGATGCACCCATTGTGTAACACAGCACACGTTTTGAGCAAGTCGCCCTTTGGGTTTCCACAGTCTGCCCTGCTTGGAGCAGAAGAGGAAGATTTTGGTTCTAGCAAATCAACAGTCCCAGCGTAATGGGCACACAATCTTTTTTGGTCTTGCAGCCCAAATCTTGTTTTGCGGGGGGATTCATGCAAACCCATTCACACATGCACACACAGATGGCTAAACAGGCGCAGGGAAAGACGAGACGCACATATTGGGAGGGGTGACTCATACTGGGGTGGTGGAGATGGATGCACATACACTGGGAGCACACACTAATTAACAGATGCAAAGCAGCAGGGCCTGCTCCAGGGTCACTGGGGAAGTAAGAATGCTGTAGCCCCTTCCCCCTGCTAGCACCCCAAAATGACTGTGGATGACAATGGCCGCAAGAGAGTCCCTTTCTTATCTCTGGTTCTGATGAGAAGTCAAAGAGGCAGAGAAGCAAGAAAGAGGCAGGTATGGGGGGGGGGGGTTAGGTGGGCTGTAAGAAATGGCTTAGTGGGTCATGTCCAAAGTGTAGTTGGCCACACTTTTTAAAACCCCTGCCTATGAAACAAAGATTGCATTTCAGTTGTGCTTGGAATTAATTTATTTTCTGCTTCCAAGATCAAGTTAAAGCATACACTTTTTAGTTTTAATTTTTAATTGTAGCATTAATTCATCTTCAGTTCACAGTGCCTCAGTTGCTGATAGGGGAACACCAGCAGACTATCTTGCAGAGTTGTGAAGAATAAGTGCAATAGTTTCCTTTGCAGTCTGCATTTCAGTGACTCCATAAGTAAAATACAGTGACTGCAAGAGAACACAATAGCGGCAAAATCCCAGGCCAGATAAACAGGGAGCAGCTGGCAGTGTGTAGGTGGCCAGGAAAGAGGCAGTGTGAATAACGTAAGTGGATTTTAGCAGTGGGGCAAACGGGTAATGCAAGGCTGGGACCCAGTTCAGGTCCAGCCCTAGATCTAGATCAAATTTCTGTCTCATTAAATAGGGGAGCCACTTGCAAACCTTAGCCAGGGCTTTTGCCACTGACCCGCAGCTGACAAATTAATCTGTAATTGAAACGGTTATTCTCCAAAGTATGTCATTTTCACCAGGTGACTGGCTTTCGGCATGAACTTTGCTTGTGTGATATGCTTTCTGAGCAGCAGTGAAAGTTCAAAGCAAGCCTTCTCTTGCTCTAGTGACGGCTGCAGTGACCCATTTGGGAAACTCTATCCTTTCCAAACTACTGGGCACCACACACCCTGGAAAACACCTGCCCCATCTTGTCACACATCCCAAGTGTGCTTACATGTGGGTTTGGATCAGAGACTGCTTTGGTCTCCCTGTGGAATGACCTTTGCTGGGAGAGACAGCGGGAGTGCGACCCTGTTAGTTCTCCTGGACCTCTCAGCCGCTTTCTGTATCATCACCCATAATATCCTTCTGGATAGACTGGCTGGTTTGGGAGCTGCAGACACTGCTTTGCAGTGGTTCCACTCCTACTTGACCGGCCAACTCCGGAAGGTGGTGCTGCAGGATTATGGCTCTGCACCTTGGCAGGTATGCCATGCGGTTCCGCAGGTCCCCCATGTTATTTAACATCTGTATGAAACCCATGGGGGAGGTTATCCAGAGGTCTGGGCTCAGATGTCATCAGTATGCTAATGGCACTCAGCTCTACCTCTCGGTTTTACCTTTAAATTTTATCAGTGGTAAGCAGACTTGGGCCCGTGGAATCTGCTTTGTTTTCCACTAGAGCACTGAGGTCCACCACTTGGAGCCAGAAAAAAACAGTGTCTTAGGGAGGCAGACATAGGAATTGCATAACAAGTGTACCTCTGAGCATAAGCATGATTTAGGAGTTTGCTTACTGTACCAGATCAGGAGCTTGCACAAAAGTACTTTTGCTCACACATCCGCTCCTGTTCTCCCACAGGCATTCTTGATTTCAGCAACTTAATCGGGGTGGAGGTAGGAAGATGTTGGCTGCAGGCCACTCCTGCGAAAGCACTGGGCATAAGAACCGTTGGCAATTTCCTGCACACCATGCAGGGATCTAACAGTAGATCCCAGTGTTCTGCCCACTTTCTAACCTATGTTAGGTTAAAAACCATGAAAGGCCTGTTTCTTAGTTGTTTGGGCTACGCCGCTCAGTGATTTGGGTCCAAGATCTCTAAACAACACCATCTTCTCTTCCTCCATCTTGGGGTCTGAAATTCACCAATTTACCTTCCTTTGGTGGCATCCATTCTGCACAATTCCCTGCTTGAAGGGGCTCCAAGAGTTGGCTTTGACCATTCAGGAAGGTCTTCAGCTGACCGTGGCTACACATGCAGCGGTTCTATGACCTTCTCCAAGAGTAAGCCCTAAGAATTTAATGAGATGTCCTTGGAGTCAAAAATGGAAAAATAAATCCAGCCAATGATTCTTCTTTAAGCTGCCTAAACTTGGTATTTTTTTGGCTGGAGTCATTTGTTCTGCAAGCTGCCTTCTGCAGTGTGCATTCCCTCTCTCTCTCGCGCGCGTGCACACACACACGTGTCACTCGTTGTCACTTGGTCCCATGGGAGCCAGGTAGAAGGGCTGCCAACATATCACTGGCGGGAGAGAGGCTCCAGACACAATTCCCTTACTTTCCGTAGATTCCTTCCAGCCACGGTGGCGAGGCGAGAGCTGGAGAGAGTGGCTGTGAGGCTTGTCCTTCCCAAGCGGGACTTCAGCCACATGCTTACCTCCTTCGCTCCTCCAGGCTTTGGGCCAAGGATGTGGTGCTGCCTCCACTCAAAACATTGCACTAAGAAGCCAGCTGGTGCTTTTCTCCACTGCAACCTCACAAATCCCTTTCATTATAATTATACTTTAAAGTCTATACCACCAACAGCTGGAGCTGTCTGGGCAGTTTGCATCACTTCATACCATACAGTATAAAATAAAAATAGCAAGAAAATAATGATGAAAAGCTCACTACAAAAATTTAAAGCCATGTTTAACACCAAAATTACCTCAGTTAACTAAGGCAGGTTAATACAAGCAGACTTGTTAAAATAGCTCACAACTCCCTCCGCCCTGTCCCAGCCTGTGCTATTTGGAGGTATTAAAAGCCTTGGCATGGAGGGCAGACTTAATCTGGTGCCAAAAGGATACTAGAATTGGCACCAGGCAGGCCTCAGTGAGGACCTTGATCTAGCAAAGAAGAAGGGGGCTACCACCGAGAAGGCCCTCCTCTTTGCTGTCACTCAGTAAGCCCCTTGTGGGTGGGGGATGCGATGCGGCCTGGAGGCCACACGTCGTCTCCACATCCCTTGGTGCAGCCTTCTGGTTGCTTCATTGAAAAAGGTGGGAGTGGGGCAGGAAAACCGCATTGCTGCCCTCCCAAGTCTCAGTCTTCTTCAAATTTCTTGGCTGCAGCCTCCCTTTGAATTGATAACAGAGCTGAGGTATGCAAAATCTTTCCCAGTTTCAGTTCCTTCATTATAGCAGTGAAGTTCTTTAATTCTTCTGTGAATATGATTTTTTCCTTGATATTCAGCTGCAGTTTTGCTTTTGTACTTTCTTCTTTTACTTTATCAGGAGTTGTTTCAAGTCATTGCTGCTTTCTACCAGTAGTATGGTATTACTTGGGTATCTTAAATTAGTGATGTTTCTTCCCCCAGTATTTACTCCTTCCACTGGTTCTAATCCAGTTTTTCTTATGATATGTTCTGCAAGCAGACTGAACAGATAGGCAGATAAAGTACATCCTTGTCTGACCACTTTGCCTATGGAAAACCATTCTGTGTCTCTCCTACCTGTAGCTTCTTTTTCATGATACAGGTTACGCATCAGGACGATCAGGTGCTGAGGCACATCCGCTTCCTTCAGTTCTAATAATCTA